GTTTTTTCACTCTCTCGCTATCATATCAAATCTTTGGACACATGCACGGAGTATTAAATATAGATAAAAAATAATTAATTACATAGTTTGATTGTAAATTACGAGACAAATCTTTTGAGCCTAGTTAGATCATGATTGAACAATAATTGTTAAATGCCAACGAAAGTACTATAGTGCTAAATACCGATTTCTAATCTCAATCTAAACGAGGCCTTGCATGGCTGACCCTGGCCGCTCGCTTACTTAGAGCGTATGCAGATTTACAGCTAACTCGCAGACTTCGCAGCTCAGGAACAGGGGTTTCAGCAAATCACGGAGGCAAGGGGGGCCATGGCCCACTATGGCCCCCACGTAGCTCCGCCAGTGCCCACCTCATGCCTTTGACCCAGCTGCTTTAGGACCGCTGCTTTCACACCATTGTAGTGTCCAGGCCTACGGTTTCTCCAAGTCCAAAGGTATATGCCGTGTCGATGCCTACACGCTCAACGCAAGATCTATCCCACAGTCTGGCCACATGGGACTCCAGTATCCCAAAAAACATGGCGTGTCCAATGTGGTATTTCCTGTCACAATGAAGACGTACCTTTTTTCCCAAGCACCAGACCTTGAAGAAGATACTGACGAAGATGATTGTCCTATCAATCCAGCCGGGTCCGAAGCATCCTTTGACACAGGTAATAGGCACATACCATGCACCTACTTCCTCTAACGTGTTTCTCTTATTCTTACCGAAATAGTTTTAACAAAGCTCACTGATTTTGGTTCATCAGCCGAAGGACTCGGCTACGACAGGGAGGTCCTCGAGGAGGCTTATAGTTGGCAGCTTAGAGGTAACATTCATACCAAATAGTTGCTTTACTGCATGAGCCGTTATGTGGTCAAACTTTCACACCAGATCGCTACATTCCTACATGGTCAGCTATTTAATAGTGCTTCAACCTGTCATGCAGCTAATATGCGGCTTGAGCGTGCAAGATACCGCGGGCATGCATCAGATAGCGACTGCTCTTGCTACACCGTGTCTTCCGACGAGCCTTTCTACCTGCCCAGAGGTACAAGCTATGCCCTCCTAGCAGCACATTGGCAGTAACGTCGCAGGCGCCCACCTTTGTACATGCACTTCACAGATTACTCGCCTGCCTGCGGCTTTGAGTCGGATCGAAGCTGGAAGCTCTACTAACGCCATGAAGATCGATCGAAACTCGGCACCTGGCACCGCTTCTATTGCCGTGACTTTTGCCTCTCGCGGTGTGCTATCCTGGACCCTCCTAGGCACCATATCTTCTTAATGCAGCCTACCTAGGACCTTGCTGTATAATTATGTGAAACCTGAACGCTAGAACTCCAGCGTGTTATGTTTCAGTGATGTGTGTATGTATTGCTTTGTGAGACCTGGACACAAACATTTGCATCGCCCTATCTTTAGGCGATGCTTATATGTACTGCTAATCGATCCTATCTAAGAGTGGCTATCCTTTGTAATGCTCTATCTCATGTGTTTTATATGTAGTGTTTACACACTTAGCATATGCCTAATGATTTCAGCCTGTTCGTTTTGTCGTAAACGATCGTGGATTATTTACTGCTGGCTGATTTGGTGTGAGAGAAAAATACTGTTCTAACTTATAATCCACGATCGTATATAATCGTATAAGCCCAACCGAACAGGCTGTTATATAATCGTATAAGCCCAACCGAACAGGCTGTTAGGTGGGCACGCGCAAATCACTAGTGTTACCAATCGTCTGTGACCGTGAGCGAGGCGGAGGCGTTTCTTTCAAAATTTTGCAAAATTTTTAAAGATTCTCCGTCACATCGAATCTTTGGACGCATGCATGAAGCATTAAATATAAATAAAAAATAAAACTAATTATACAGTTTAGACGAAATTCACGAGACGAATCTTTTAAGCCTAATTAAATTATAATTGGACACTAATTGACAAATAACAACAAAAAATACTATCTTACCGTTTCCCAAAAATTTTCACTGACTAAACAAGACCTAAGCGCGCTGGCCGCTGGCGCAGCATCACGTTCTGACTGGCAGGGGCCCTTGAGCTAGCTCCAGAGTTGACAGTAGAGGCAGCCCGCGAAGAAAAGTCCAAGATGCGAGAGCCGCCGTTGTTTATGTGGCAACTCGACGTCTCGATCTGTCATAACTGGACAGTAGGGACCGCCGTGTCGGGCCGGAGCGCAATAGCCCGCCGGTACCTCGCTTGTGGTTCCCGTCCATCGCCGAGCGCCAACAGCCGCCCGCCGCCCGCTGTAGCGCGACCGCGACACTCGACAGGCTGCAGCGGACACGTCGGCCAGGCAGGGGTGTTCCTTCCCTTCCCTTCCCTTCCCCTTCCCTCCGGGCCCAGCCGTCCAGCGGCACAGGGATAAGGCCGGGCGGGCCGGGGCCCATCTTATCGCGCCGCGGATTCCTTCACCTCCGAGCCTGGCCCCGCGGCCGGGGATCGAGAACCTGATCGCCCGTCTCGGCACCAAATCGCCCGCCCAAAAATCCCTCGCCGCTCCACGCACGCAACGGAATCCTCCTCTTTCTTCTCCCTGTTCCGCTGCGCGACTTGCCTCGCCCTCGCGGTCGCGGCTGGCTGCCTGGCTCCGTGCGCCCGCGGAGCGGAGGACGACGGTGCCGTCGGCCACCAAACAACCGTCCAAGGGCTTCGTTTTCTTGTTCACGTGGGCGTGTGCCGGGGACAAAATCTCGAGCCCGTGTCCCAGCGTCCTCGTCGCCAGTGGGCCACTGGACACTGGTGCGTGGGACCCGGGGAGGGGACGTTTCGTTCCCGACCTCACGCGCGCGCTCACGATTCTCTGCACTAGCAGCACTCGGACAAGATGGCGTCGTTTCGTTTGGCTCTTAGCTGAGAACTGAGGTGGTGGTAACGAGTTGTGGTTGTGGAGGACATGCCGACTGGAATCGTTGACTCCAGCACTCCTCTCTGTGTGGATAAGAATATGCAAGTTGATCGCCGGAGCCAACGGCTCGTTTGTTTCGCTTATAAACCATATTTTTTCAAGTCTACGAACAATATTTTTTTTTTCACAATAAATCAATCAACAATACTTTATCAGCCAAACAAACATGGCAGCTAAGGGTTGGGCTATTATTTTTCTCCCCCGTCGCTGGTTAGCAGCAACAAATGCTTAGACCGTCTCCAATAGGTGACCCATATGGGCACTGTCGGTGCGGGACCCACGGGATACCCCGCAAGGTAGGGAGAAGATCAGTCTAACTAGGATTCTTCCCATGTAATCTTAGTAGTAGTATTATTCTGTAATCCTACTAGGAGCTCTCATTATAAACCGACCAGGGTTCTGACCTCCTGACTATATAAAGGAGGACAGGGTTTCTAGAGACGAGAGGATCACGACTTTTATGAGTGTAACAACACAACTCCAGCCAATCAATCCAACGTAAGGACTAACGCCGACTGGACGTAGGGCTATTACTCGATCAACGATTGAGGGTCCGAACCCGGATAAATCGACTGTCTCTTGCGTTCACCGTCGAGTTCCGCATACGCCGAAGCCCGAACAAAACTGCCCCGGGGACCCGTGACAGGCTATCGGTGGTAAAACATCAACAGGCACCCAAACCCAAAATGGGTATCAGAAGACCTAAAATCAGTCTCTAACAGAGTATCTATACGGGAGATCAATTTTGGGTTGTCTGAGAGATACAATCCAAATATAAGTATCCTCTCTTTTGGAAACCCATTTACAGAAAAAATTCTCTTTTAAGTTCTATTGTTGGAGATGATATCAAATGGATATTGAATCCTTTGACTATAGCGCTACTCAAATATTGAATAGATCTTGTATTTTAGGTGTTGTCGTCGAAGATAGTGTTAGCAGCGGCGACGTACCAACCATATCGAAAGCTAAGCATCACGGAGATCAGCACGTTAGCTCACGATGGGGTTCCGCGGCCCCACGCACCCACTATTGCAACGCACTGACGCACATACTCCTACTACATCCATATCCTAACGCTAAAGCATCCCAAAGACACTACACTGGCATCATCCTTAAGACAGCAGCACAACTTGATGTACTACTGGAAGTCTTTTCTTTTTTCGAGAAAAAGAAAATGCATAGCATAGCTTTGCGGACAAATGATGGCGCATCGTCAGCTGTACTACGCCCGGTTGGTTTGGCCTTATATGGCTGATAATTCATAATTAAAAATACCGTTGACTGATTTATTATGAAAAAAAAATATTATTTTCTAACTTAAAAATATGATTTATAAGTCAAACAAGCTCAAACGAACATAGGGCTAGTTTCTAATGTTCTGCTATAACCTGATTTGTAACAGAGCTCAACGGCGTCATCTTGGCACAAGTGGCTACACACCGAAGCCATTTCTAGCCTTCCGTAGGCTTGTTAGGATGCAGTTAGGTGGCACGAAGATGGGCCGCGCATGACGTGGGCAACGCTCCGCCACGGCTTTTTCTCGGTTTGCCCTTCCCCCAGGAGGCCAGGACTTATCCAAAACCCAATTATGCACGTAACATAATGATGCCAACCAAGCCAATCCACAACATTAGCTGCTTAATCCAAGTCAGAAGATCCGCCGGGGCGCCGGCTGATCCCTATCTCATTGTCATATCATAGCAGTAAACTAGCAGCAGTAATAAAAAAGTTACAGCCTCCTCTAGTTGTGTTGCAGTTGCGGATGGGACAAGGCGAAGGCGAAGGCAAAGGCAAAGGCGAAAACGGAACGAGTTCGTGCACCGCCTCGAGCACTCGCGACAGCAGGCCCGCTTACTACTGCTCGGCTCCAGTAGTAAAAAGTAAAAAAGAAATCCGGTACCAGAACAAGGTGTAGTACAGTCATGGCGCGCACAGGCACAGGCGCACAGCAAACGGCGCGAGTCGCGCCATTTTTGATTCTCTGCATCGGCAGGGGTAAATCGAGGTGGTAAAAATACCGATCACCATCAGGTAGGCCGTAGGCCAGCCACCGGCCCACCGCCTGGCCGGGCGCTAGTACCGGGCGAGCGCGCGGCGGAGCACCTGGGCGAGGAGGCCGGGGGCGCTGAGGTGCGGGAGGTGTCCCTCGGTCTGGAGGAACTCCACGGTGGTGCGGCCGCCGAGGTGGGCCTTGAGGTAGGCGGCAACGGAGGCCGGGACGGAGACGTCGCGGGTGGTCTGCACCACCACGCAGGGGGAGCGCACCATGCCCAGCACGCCGCGGAGGTCGGTGTTGAAGACGGTGCGGCAGACGTGGAGGGAGATGTCCGGCCGCATGTTGAAGAGGGTGCGGCTGAACTCCTGCACCGCCGCGGGCACGTCCGCGCCCACCGCCAGCGGGGCGTACCCGACCGCCCACGCCGAGTAGTTGGCCGCCATCGCGTCGAACACCTGCTGGATCTCCGGCAGCTCGAACCCGCCGTGGTAGTCGTTGTCGTTCAGGAACCTGGCGCCGTCCGGGACGGAATGAATCCGTTAATCAATCATCATCTCTTATCGTCTTAAACAAAAGAGGGATGGATGGCGGCTTTTCTTCTCTCCTTCCCGCCTCAAATTGAACTCCAGAGGGATGGTTGGGTTGATTGATGAAATTGAATGAATGGATTCCCATCGGCATCACGGCATGTGTGTAGATGCATATATACGGTACCTGGGCGACGCGCCGATGAGGACGAGCTTGGCGAAGAGCTCGGGGCGGCGGATGGACGCGAGTATCCCGATCATGGCGGAGACGGAGTGTCCGACGAAGGCGCAGCGCGGGATGCGGAGCGCGTCGAGGATGGCGAGGAGGTCATCGACGTAGGAGTCGAGCGTGTCGTAGCGGCGGAAGTCGAAGTGCTCCGGGTTGACGCTGCCGGCGCAGACGAGGTCGTAGAGCACCACGCGGTGGTCGCGGGTGAGGTAAGGGAGCACGCGGCTCCACGCCGACTGGTCCGTCCCGAACCCGTGCGACAGCACCACGACGCGGTCGCCGTTGCCCACGACCCGCACGTTGAGGATCTGCAGCAGCTTGGCGCCGCTCGGGGCGCCGCCGCCGCTGCCCGCCCCCGCCGCCGCCGCCGCGCCGCCGCCCCCGACCATCGCGGCGTCGGAGCTGCTGCCGCTGGTGGGGCTGGGTGGGTGCGTGGACCGAAGCATGAGTGAGACCAGCACGGGTGGGGGACGGACTACTGGGAAGCAGAGGCGTCCGGGTCGTCTTATATAGGAGCTGGAGCAGAGGTCATGGGACAGGGGGTTGCCTTGCTCCTCTCTTGCTCCTCTCCCTCCCTTGGAGCAGAGGAGGAGAGCAAGCTTTCCCTCTCCTCCCTTTTGGTCTCCGGCTGGCTCTCCCTCTCGGCGTGCACTCTGCTTTATTCCTCCATCTCTCTGGCTCTCCCTTGGTGCGGGAGGGAGTTGCAGATCGGATGACGAGGGGTTTTTGGTTGTGCCAGCGAGGAGCAGGAGCCTTTGTTTGGGTGCCCAATTATCCAGACCACAGCAGCAAACAGTAGTAAAGAAAAAGGAGACGCACCAATAATTTTGTGAATTTTTCCTCACAAGAGCTGGTTTTGTGTGCTCTTTTTTCTTCTTCTGGGTTTTCTTGTGTTTTTATGTCAAGGAGCTGGCTGGTTTTGTATGTTGCCGTGGCTAACCCTGCCAGCGCAAACAGCCCAGTGAGAGTCCCTGGCAGGGCAAGACACACCTGGAGTACGTACTCCCTACGCAAGTGTAGCAACCGGTCTAGTATAAACGGCTAGTGCCGATCGAGCTGGGATTGTGTAGCAGATAACACGGGCATGGACAGAGACAGGGGCATCGCCGGCCGGCGGCCAACGCCCTTTGTGTTTATTACTGGCAAGTTGCCGTGATGGAATGGAGTCAAGCCAAGGCGCGCACAAAACGGAAAAGCGCCCGGTTTTACCCAATTAATTAACTGAGCTGGTTTTGGCCCACGGACGCACGCACGGCACGCCCGGCGGCAGGAGCAGGATGCGTGAATCCCATGGCGCCGCGACCCATTGGACGAGAGCTCGGGCCAATCGGATTGGTCTTGTCGTGGGGTGAGAAAGGTCGCCAACGACGACGAGGCGCAGACTCCAGTGGATAAGCAATGCGGTGGGTCACTATACCACAATTTCTACAACTGCACACGCACACCCACCCTATCGTTCCGTACTAGATGTTACTTCTCGGCTAAGCCTGTTGCAATTAACGTACTCCTGCGGTCAAGCCACGCCCGTGCCTAGCTATATGCTAGTACTACTAGATGTTACTTCTCGGCTAGGGTTTAGGATCAGCACAACCACGCGCCGTGCATGATGATGCACATTGCCCCACGCGATCCTATCTGGCTCCTGTTACAGATCTGTTTGCTTTGCTTTGCTCAACATGAGATGCACGGTCCACATCCAGCGAAGGATAGCACCTACTATCGGTATCGGCCACTGCGAGGTGTGCATGTATGCCCTGCCGCGGTGCGGTGCTAAACAACGGATAGCAAGACAAGTCCTCCTCCTCGTCGCTGCTGGAGCTGGATGGAGGCTGTCGTCGTCGCGAGCCACGTGAAGCCAAGCCCACGTCGCCGTCCGTCGACGGGCCGGCCGGGGCCCGGGGGGCTTGGCTTCCGGTCGATCGAGTGGCGTCCTACGGTAACAGCCGATCGAGCGGCTCCACGGCTCCACCCACCACCGATCCACACAAATACTCCGTGCTTCTGCGAGCCCTGTGTAGCTCGATCAGCCTCGCTCGCTAGCAGCAAGTTTTGCTGACGCACGCTCTCCCTCTCCGTGTCCGTGTCCGGGACCAACCGATCCCATCACCCCGGCGAGCTAAAACGCGACGAGCAGACGCTTCCTCCACGCTAGGGGCCAAAATTGGCCACCGTCACCGTTGGGATCCTATCCGAGCATCCTCCAAAATATTTCTGGATCGCAGGCGTCGTGTTGCGTTTGAGCTTGTCCATATTCATCCCTATCTCGCCCGGCGGCCCTGAGGTCGTCCGAGGGCACATCATCAGACGAAATAATATATACTCCTTAATTAATTATATTAGAAGTGTCTGATCGAACGCATGGATCATCTCGTACAAGTACTACGTACCCCGTACTGCAAATGCGAACGTATCTGCACAAGATTGTATATGTTGCCACCGGAATTTTACTCTTCTCTTTCCATGGATTGGACTTGCGGAGATACTATATGCCGTTTCACTATAGTGCATGCAAGCTTTAAGCGGATTTACACCTCCGGCCACCACACCCCTCGGCGCCGACCGAATCGGAACAAACAAAGACGGATACTGCCACGGCCTGTATATTAATGAATGATCGTATCGTACACCACATGCATGATATACTCCTGGGCCTACAATCCTACAAGCTTTCTATCTATACTAGTATATATACCTGCTGAAAGCTATTCGTGGATATATATTGATGAAAAGATTTAAAAGAATGAATCCCAATATAATAAATAGTTATTAGGAACAATACATTATTCATTAGAGAGGTCTGCTTTTGTCTAGTAGTACTAGTAAACTACACGTGACCATGTATTGATTGTGACCACCATTTACATATCTATACAGTATATAAACCCTTGCTTTGCAAGGTGCAGGGCATCCATGATTTAGGAGACAGGGGCCAGGGCATGGTATGTGTCAGCCACTTTGGATGGTGGGTGATTGGGCACCATGCTGCCTTCTTAGCTGCATGCCATCACTAATTGACGTCACAATGCTTATGTCAAGAGATGTTTACGTGTATCCCCTAATTAATACTTGGAATTTGAAGGCATGTAATATGTGTACTACATGGATAGAGAAACGGTGCTAGGCTCCTCTTGTTTATAAGGCCATTTGTAAGTATAATAAATCCCTTCTTCAAGGAGGGAAACTGTAAGAATTTCTTAAAGTAAGTTGAAACACAGGGGCGCTGCCACTGCAAGTAAATCATGTTAACCATCTCAGGAATGTTCAGTCAGACAACAAAATACGAGGTGTGTGTGTGTGTGTGTGTGATTCTGACGAAACATCACTGAATGAACAATAAAATACTTTGGTTCTTGCACATCTAACGAACATCCTTCCACCTACATATGATCCTCTACGAGGCCATGGCATCAGTATTGTCGAGGACGGCAACAAGTTGTTTTTTTTTTTACAGTCGGCGGATTTATTTTAGTATTTAGTAATAACAGACTTTTACCTTTGATAAAAAAATAACAGACTATTACCGTACATATAAATGTGGATAGAGAACAATTTTCAGAATAAAAATCTTTCATCCACAAAATTGTCCCGTCCCATCTCTCTCATTGAGGACAACTGCTACTGGAAGGTACGCCAATCGCCAACAAAGAAGAAAAACACAAAGAAGTGTGCGCTAAGGATAAGATAGTTATTTCCGTCCGAGTCACCTAACTTGATTCTTTCTTAGCTGATGTTACCAGCTACTGCTTCAAGAGTCCAATTTGCTCCGGTCCTTCTGAAAGTCTGTACAGCACTACAGCTCATGACTTAACTTTTCATATATCATACTACAACCAAAAGTGTTTCGGACAAGCTCTGTCTTGCTGGTACTCGTCGCTTAAGCTTATTCAGCACTATTTTTCAGTTATGAAACAGTATTTTTCTCTCACAACATTTTAGTATTTTTAGGTTTATTGAAGAAAAAATAATTGTATACAAGCTTGGTTGATGCTCCTATTTACAGGTTTTACCGTGGCAAAAAGCTATGGATCTGAATAGTTATATTATGTAACTTTCCCATAAGAATTCTTTAAAAAAAGATCAACTAAGGTATAAGTATAAATTGCGCTTTTTTTGCTCCCATGCTTATGCATGTCCGCAAAAGTTCACCATCAAAGCTATATACAATTCAAGGCACACTAAAGGTGACAAAAAATGAAGCACCAGATCACACTAGTATAGGCTGTGGATTGGAGAGCCCAAAATTAAGAGTGCTAAGCCCGATTGGTTGCTCTGGTTGGTGAGGTGTCATTAGCGACATCCTTATCACTAAACCATCATAAGAAAATAATTTTCTTCTTTTTGCTCTTACATTTCGGTGATTATCTGTGTCCACGCGTTAGGAGATTTAAGTGAGCCCTGGCCCCCTCAGCTTCGTCCCAGGCCACGGGTGCTGAGAGCTCACTTGCCGCTCAGCCGTGTGCTCGTGTCGTGCTCTTGTGTCAAGATCCCTCCCCTTTCATAGGGCGCCCTGCTTTTCCTTTTATAGGCAAAGGGAAAGTGCGGGTTACAGAGGAGAAAAAAGAGAAGAACGAGAGAGAAGAAGGCTTCCAGGGTTGTCAGGTCCTTCTCCTTCATGCGGGTCCCGCCGATCCTGTAGATGTCAACAGGGACGGCTCCATGTCGTGGCCCTGTTCATCATTGGCGCCATGCACAGGCGTCATCTGCCGGTCATGGCGTTCCACTCCGTTCCGACGGACGCCGTGGTGAACTGACGCGCCTGTCAGCATCCGTACGAGGATTAGGCAGAACAGCACCGGCACACCCGATACTGTTCTTGATGTGAATCCCCAGGTATGGCCCGTCATGGCCATGGGTTATATCGAGGCGTGCCATCCTCTTTTCTGGCGTCAGAGTTTTGACCCGGGCCTATACGCTTGGACCTGGAGTGGTTGGCGATGGTATGGGTCCCTGTTGGATGAGACGGAACCCGCATCCTAGAGGTCGGGCGAGACGGAGCCCGTGACCTTGGCCTCGAGGTCGGGCGAGACGGAGCCCGCGACCTCGAGGTCGGGCAAGACGGAGCCTGCGGCCTTAGGCGAGACGGAACCCGCGTCCTTGGGTCAGGCGAGAAGGAACCCGCACCTAAGGGGTCAGGTAAGACGGAGCCCGCACCCAAGGGGTCAGGCGAGACAGAGCCCACGGCCTCGAGGTCGGGCGAGACGAAGCCCGCACCCAAGGGGTCGGACAAGACGGAGCCTACGGCCTTGGGGTCGGGTGAGACCTTTTAATACGTCTCGAGCCATCCGGGGAAGTCAGCGTGGGCGCTAACTTTCTTGCTTTGGGTATCCCTAATATCGATACCCGACAGGTGAGCACATGTCGTACTCAGCAAATATAACATGGGGTTCAT